CTCCAGAGCGCAGGCTCAGTAGTTGTGGCGCACGGGCTTATTTGCTCCGCGGCACGTGGGATCTTCCCGGACCAGGGCTTGAACCCGTGTCCCCTGCATTGGCAGGCGGATTCTTAACCACTGCACCACCAGGGAAGTCCAAGAGGGCTATTTTTTCCCTGCTAGATTATTAGGGTAAATTGTTGTGTAACAGGTAGGCTGGGATAGTATCTCAAGAAAAGTTATATACTTTTTTGGGATGGTGGGAGAGCTGGGCTTAGGAATGGACCTCTAGCCAAAATCACAAAAGGAAATGTTGTCTTCCTTATTTGAAAGACAGCAATAGATATGATTTTGGGAGACCGGAAGCCAGGGCGTGTAGTGCACAATTAGATTCTAAAAGACATGGGGCCGCTTTTCTCGGCAGCAAATAGTGGTGAATTGGTAACCTCTTACCCGGTGGGGGCTGGACTGGGTTAGATAACTGGAGGCAGGAGTAGTTACCTGTTGACTCAGGGTTGTCATAACCAGGTTGGCACCTCCAGCCTGGGTGGCCCAGAGAAGCACAGCTCTCCCAGTTCCGCTGATCAGCTCCAAATAGCCGGACAGTTGGGCTGAGCTCACCCCCTGTCAGATTAGCACTTTATAAATCTTCACCTGCTGGTAGCATCTGTATTTTTGAGTCATTGTCTCCCTTTTCTGTCTCCAGGACAGTTTGCCACAGCAGGGACATTTAGATCAGTTGTTTTCTTCACTGCACAGACTTCAGAAGCTAAATATCACACAAACAATTGCAGAACAAAACCACAACTTATGTCAGGAAGTAATTAAGTCACTCCGAACTTACAGAAAGCAGGACCACGTAGTGCCAGCGATGGTCAAATTTAGAATATTTAAGAATTACCTGGGAGCTGGTCACAGTGCAGGATTCTGGTTTGTCCCCCAAGATATTCTGAGTCTGTGGGTTTGGGCTGGGTTTCAGCTACACGTTTAACAGACGCAACAGGTGATTCTGACGCAAGTAGTGCCGCAGGCAGTTACTTGAAGGTGCAGAATGTTTTGTGGAAGGTAGGACAGTGAGTAGAGCCAGGAGACTGTGATCTTAAGAAGTGCCTTCAGTGTCCCAGGCTGGGGACCAGGTGTCTTGCCAGACATTATTTTGCCTGATCCTCTAAATATCCTGTGAGCAAGATTTGATCTCCATTTTACAGATGGAGAAATGGGGCCTTAGGGAGATTAAATGACTTGCCTCAAATTTTACAAAAGAACTCGAGGAACGGTGAAAGCAAAAAGATTATTTTGACAGATGATTTCTCCCACCCTTTACTAAAAACCTGGAAACTACTAACCAGGAGTATCACACTTTTGATAAGTTTTATAGTATACGGACAGATTTTGAAAACTCCTCACTTTTCCTGAGACTCATTTCCCTACAGCCCAAACCTCCTTCCTCTGTTCTTTCCCATAAGCTGTACTGAAGAACTTAATTGATCCCTTCATACTCCATACTTTGCCCTGTTTTCTGGCAAAGCTCATTGTTGTAAGTGACTTCCTTGCTAGTGAAGTTATCAACTTCTGCACTGGGGAGAGAAGGGCAAGCAGCTCTTTGATCTTAAAGGTCCTAATCCGCAGTGGCGTAGCTGTAAAAACGACCCCAGTCAGCTGCCAAATAGGAAAGCCCCAGCTCACCTCACTGTTAACTGTGTGCCCCAGGCTTAAAGTCAGCAAACAACAAGTCCTTTTCTAGCCTCCTGTAATCACAGTGTTCTCTGGAGGGTCCGAGCTGCCACCGACCTGTCAGTTACCCAGACTTTAATTTGAAACCTCAGAGTGATCTGTTGACCTGTGTCTTTGACTGTTTTAATTGGCTAATTTGTAAGATTTGACCTCTGATATTTGCTAACTTTTTATAGGGAGTTGTATTTGTAACGGAAGAAGAGAAGAATAAAAAATATTAGTTTAAAAAGTGGCCTATGTGACTGCTTTTCTAAAAAGGTATTTAATGCTCTTAGTACTTTGGCTTATCTCTTTGAAATAAAGCTAATACACAGGATTGCCTTCACATTGTTGTACTCTTCTTGATTGATACTTGCATTGTCTTAGAGCCTAGAAATTGTTAATATTAGCTAAAACTACTTGGCTGCTCTATTAGAAGTTCCTTTTTTGTCAGATTTTCTCAAACATGTTTCTGCCTCACTAGGAGCCCCAGGTATTTATGAGGTAATGGAGTACCTAAGAGGCCTAATTTTGTGGACATATTATGGAAAAAATAATTTGGGGGTATTAACTTCCCAGCTTCTTTCTTTAAAAAATAACCCCGTAAGAAGTCATTGTCTATCTCTGGGCATCCCAATTATTTGCTATCATTTAAGCCAAGAAAGCTCTTTGGTTTGCTTGTATTCCAGGCTTAATGTGTATGTAACCTAAACATTCCCTGATCTTGTCTCCAACAGGTAGACTGGGTGCAGTGTGATGGTGGCTGTGATGAGTGGTTTCACCAAGTTTGTGTGGGTGTATCTCCAGAAATGGCTGAAAATGAAGATTACATCTGTACAAACTGTGCAAAGAAGCAGGGGCCAGATAGCCCAGGTCCAGCAGCACCTCCTTCTTTCATAATGAGCTACAAGCTACCAGTGGAGGACCTTAAAGAGACCAGTTAGCAGGTGCTGGGTTAGCTTGGGACATGGGGGAAAACGGACCACACAGAGACCGTAGTCAGTAGAGTGGTTTACATCCACTCAGAATGTTGCTTCCAAAGACGAATGGCCTTCTGAGCAAGTCCTCCCAGCCGACTTCCTCTTTGCATGGACGTGGGATCTGCGTTCTCTGTCAGCACATCTGTGCCGAGGGTGTCTGCTTTGGTCCAGCAGCCAGTGTTTCAGTTCATGTCTCCTCTGAGATTGCTTGTCACATTAAGGCCAGACATTTGAGCGCTAGGGTGGCTGGTTGGCATTAATGCGTTGGTGTGCTGGCAGGGCATGTAGGCTGCGGCTTCTGGCCAGTTGGTACTAGTTAGAGGTTTGCAGCCAGCGCCACCCAGAGGTGCTGATCCCTTGGATCTCCTTAGTTAGGCCAGTGGGGGAGGAGTAGAGTAGCAGTTTCCTTCCACCTGCCCTGGCATTTGACGCCCTACACATCCAGCTAGGAGAGGGCCAGGGCTGAAGATAGTCCTGTTAGAGGCCATGGGTGGTGAGTGGCACAGCCCGTAGACCTCAGCTCCATGTGCTTGTCTGTACCAAGAAGAAAACCCCAGCTGAGAGGCAGATCACCTCATCTTCCTAAGGAGGAGGATGGCATCTAGTTCAGAAGTCTGACTAGATTGGATTCTGGGAAGAAGAGATTTTATTTCAAGGCAAGGAGCCTTTTTTTGGCTTTGAGAAGTCTTGCTGCCTTGGGTCTGCATTTTAAAGAAGAGCAGGTACGTGGATCCAGGCTTCTGCGGTAGCAAAGAAGACAAGTCAGAACGTTTTACTGAGCCGCAGCGGTGCCTGCTTTTCGGGGAACCCTTCATTCACAAGTGCACCAGGTGCCACCAGGCTTCAGGCATGGCCCCGAGCAAGACCAGCAAATAACAACTCTTGCCTTGCAGCCCGGCCCCCACTGGCTGTGGTTTCCAGTACTGGCCGTTTCTGACCGTGGCCCGCGGCAGATGCTGTCGCACAGCACGTGGCTTCATCAGAGGACGTGGGCTTAGAGTACCTCTGGGTGACAAAGTTGTTTTAGTAAATCCATTTTTTAAAAAAAGAAAAAAGGACTTGTTTTTACTTTTTTCTAAATGTCTCTGACTACTGACTGTTCTATAAATAGATTATTTTTCCTTTTTTAATATACATATATGAATATATATATATATATATATACACACACACACACACACACACACACACACACACACACTGTTACCAGCAGCTTATGACAGAGTTTCAGCATCAAAAATCCATTTGGGGGCTTGCTTTCTCGTCTTGCTTTTTAATAAAGGAATCCCATTCCTTCCTTGTAGTACAAGGAGTTAGCACTTCCTTCTCCATCCTAGCCCGACCAGATCTTCCATCTTGGTTTTGTTCAAATAGGTAATTATATTTCGTTTGTGTGTTGGGACTTGTGTCCCTTTCTGTGGGGAAACCTGGTCATACTGTATCTGTGATGGTAGTTCTGTTTTGTACGTGAAAGTTTGGAACTACGGTGCTGTGTTCTCCTCCCTCCTGTGTGTTCTGTGTCCTTGTGAAGGTGTTAGGTAAGCTGTATGGAAACTCTTATTAGAAGGGGACTAATTTTTTTTTTTTTAGGACAAAAAAACCCAAAAACCCACCAAACAAACTAAAAATGGTGTTTTGTCTTCACTATCCTGTGTCCCTTTATTTTGGTTTAAAGATCTGTGGCTTGACTTAAATTCATCAGTTTTCCTTTTAAAAGGGGGGAGCAGGGTGGGCCCAGAGAGCAGCTTTTAGTCTTGTCTTCCCTTTGTGCCCCGATCTCTTTTAAAGAAATGTCTTCTAGTAACTAGAAGTGAAATGTACTGTCCAGTCACAGTTTGCGTGGGTATGAGATTTAACTCAAAAGGCATCTTACTAAAAAAAGCAAAACCTTTCCTATAAAATCTAGTTTCTGGAAATGCTTTCTCTACGGTTCTACTACCTATTTTTTAGTCATTTCTTCCTTAATATCATATAACGTTTTGAGTGTCTTGGCCTGTTAAGAGGTTCATAAGTGTTGGTGTGCATGGGTCTTAAAATCTCATCTCAAGTGTGTGTATGATTTAAGATTTCAATGGAAAGTACAAGGTAACTAAGTAACCAGTTTCATAAGTTATCATTTTGCCAGTCTCTCAATACATAAAGATATTACTACTTAGTTAAGAATTTCATCTGGTTGATATTATAGAAGAAAGCACAATGTTTTTTGCCGTTTGGTCTTCTCTGTAAAAGTCTTCAAGTGCTTGTGGGTTAAAAATTGAATGCAGTCTTAAGTGATGGCTGCCCGGAATACATTTTAAAATATCTTGTTTTTCCTTCATTCCTCAGCTATCAGTGGAGGGGCATGAGGTGCTGAGAAAGACAGCTAAGGTGCTCTGCTGCTTGGAGTGTGGTGGATGGATAGAGGGCTGTTTAGGGAATAATTTATGTTCATAATAGGTATTTGCCTGCATATTTGACTGAGAGAAAAACGCAAGGCAGTCTCCAACCATGAATAGCTCCCTGTTTATCTTCTCCAACCATGAATAGCTCCCTGTTTATCTTCTGACATTTTGAAACTCAAATATATCATTTAATTGATACTGTGGGATTTTCTGTATTTATTTGAAAGTCACAGAGGATTTGGTCTGACTTTTGACCATTTAGACCAAAGGTTGAGAACAGATGAGAGACAGTTTAAAAGAAGAAAGAGAAAAGAAAAATATATAGAAATGTGTAATTTTGTAATTAGTGAACTAAGATTCATCTGTTAAAGAAATGACGATGTTTTTTCACTTAGAGGAAAGTACTTATTTTACAAAGTAACTCCATTCTGCGGTGTTGTAACATTTCATATTAAAACTTGATTTAAAATGTTTCTTTACCCTTCCTATCTCCTCAGAGTCGCAATTCTGCACCACTCGTTCTTTAACTTATTCGTTAATTCTTTCAAAGATATTTCTCACCACGTTCATTATAAACCATTTTGGCAAAGGTTATAGGAAGGAAGATGAAAACTGGTAGGTCAAGAGTAGGTCCTCGGAACCGCGCAAGTGCAACGACAGCTCTCTTGTGGTCCCTCCAGCCGGGGTTGGCCTCGCTGCCTGTAGTGACCCTGCAGAGATGTGTGGAGACGCAGGGCCAGGCTCCTTCCCGAGCTGCTGCCTCCCAGCTCTTCCTGACTCACACGTGGGCATCACGGAACAACAGCTACTGCAAGTTACGCTTCAGATAATTGAAACGGCAGATGTGAAACCTGGGTCGCCCGCGATGTACTTGAATAATCAAAACCCCAGCGAGGGCTGACCTGTGAGATGAGAACGATTTCACCTGTGCTTCACTTCTCTACTTTTGTCTTTGACACACGTCCAAGAAATGTCAGTTTGTTTGTTTCTCTTAATTTTTAGATTCTGATGCAATTCAGTGGGTATAAGAGAAACTCCCTACTTGGCAATATTTTAATTCTACAGTACATTTGTGTGAATATCAGCCAGTGCTTAAAGTAGGAGGGTGAAACGGAAAACTGAGAAAGCCCTTCTTTCAGAGGGAGGGATTATCCACTTTTTAAGGAGAAAGTGGCAATTTGAAGGGGAATTTGAAAATTGTGGGAAAATTAAGCAAAGACCCACACGTAACCAGGTTCAGTAAAGGTATACATATGAACTAGCTTCATGTGTGTGTAAAAAGTTGCTTTTGCAGTACGTCCTTAAGTATAAATTTTTAAAAGCCGGCAATTGGTTTGCCTTTTACCTTTTGAAATCCCACTTTTTTGTTTGCTTTTAATTAAGGCATATCATTACTTTGGATGTGGATGTGCCGTGGCATTTAGTATTTATAGCATGAGAAGGAAAGAATGGATATTAGTATATTTTGGAATTCTAGTCTTCTCTTGGTCTGGATCGTATCCAGTCACCACTATGCAACGAATGATGTGCACTGGGAAAGGATGTGACGGGTTTTTAAAGATGTGTCCTGCTTATTCTTACTTTTGCAATACTCCAAGATGTCTAAACAGGAATGTCTTTTGTAAGCCTCAAGACCTATTGATTATTCTCTTACATGTTTAGTTACCTGTTAGTGAGACACTTAAATATAATATGGACTCTAATTTACCAGGGATTTTGGTGGTGCCTTATGAAAAGTATAACTTGATTTCTTGTTTTCTGAGCATGTTTTGCATTTCTTTTGTTTTCTGAAAGAACGTTAGGTATAGTTATTTGCATTACATCTAAAAAATTTTTAAAAATTGTGTGTGTGCTCAGGTCCCCCCTACCCTGTCATTCATATTGGTGGCAACTCTAAGTGGTAACCAAGTAAAGGTAGATTTTGGTAATTGATCTGAGAGTCACTTTTAACCTGTTGCAGAACAGTTTCTAATGTGCATTTGCTCTCTATAAAACAAAGAACTGGCCTCAAATAACTTCACCAGTGGTGTGATTAGCCTGTTACATTGCTGAGAATAGTGTTTGCAGAAAGCGTGAAGTAGAAGTGATTCCTGCAGATTTCATGTCTCTCTGTTTTCAGCAAGAGTCCAGCGATGGCCAACAGACATTTTCCCCACCGTTGATTTCTTAAGCTGTTTATCCCTTTGTAGCGAACCAGTGATAAAAGCAGGAAAGATGAAGAAATACTTCCTTTTTCCTTTGGCCTCCTAGTACTTAAAACTAGCTCAAACTGCACCTTACACTTCAGAGAAGTAAATGGCCCTTTTTGCTCATTGCCGAGGTTATCAGGTCATGCAGGCGAGGGACAGATCATTGCTGAAAATGTTAAGGTTCTGCCTGCAGTGAAATTGGCCTCAAACATGAAGTGTTTGATTGTGTATATATGTGTTAGGGAGGAGAATTAGTGGGAAGAAGGAGGAAGAAAAAACTGGTATCTGAACTTGGAAAGGAATTTTCTTGCCAACAACAACAAAAAAACCATGAAATTTCGTAAGATTGACAAATTTTTTGTGTGTGTGTGTGGTACGCGGGCCTCTCACCGCTGTGGCCTCTCCCGCCGCTCCGGACACGCGGGCTCAGCGGCCATGGCTCACGGGCCCAGCCGCTCTGCGGCATGTGGGATCTTCCCGGACCGGGGCACGAACCCGTGTCCCCTGCATCGGCAGGCGGACTCTCAACCACTGCGCCACCAGGGAAGCCCAATTCTTTTCTTTTTAAAAGTTGTGTGGAATCCACCCAGCTTAGACCACGTATTTCTTGGGGCCTTGGCATTGTGGTTGATACCAGTACGTTGAAGATCCAGAATCTCTTCATGGAAGCTCAGCCTTGCATTGGGAAGTCTCAGATAACACGACGAGCGAACAATACGGAAGAACACACTCGAGGACTGTGTGCTGTGACGATACAATTTGGAATTTCTTGACTCTTCTCACCTATTTGCTCTTTAAAGTGTGTTTCTGCCCTGCTTTTAGTAGGCAGAAAGATGATTTAATGTTTCCATGTGACAAAGTCCCATGAAATTTCTTTACTAGGCAAGGATTTTCTCTAAGCTCGTCTGTGGAACCAGGATGTATCTTTGTTAATGCAAAATAAAGATGCCACAGACAGCCTTAAAGATGGTTTGGTGGTTCCAGCTGGTGAACCTTGTAGTAAGGAACTCTGATGAGTTGCCAGGGACGTAGCGGTGAGCTCAGAATCTAATGTAGTTCAAAAACAACACCCCCTCAAAACAAACAAAAACTTCAAAAGCCCAAGTGAGGACTTCAGGGTTACATAAGAAAGAATGTTGGATTTAGGAATGCACTGATGTGGGTATTAGCTCTTTGTATGACGTTCTGTTGCTTACTTCCCTTTTTGGAATCTGTTTCCTACCATGTGTGGGTTAGTTCTTGTGGATACAAAGACATTTAAGTTATAGCCCTTCTCCTTGAAGGAGGATAAGGCAGACGTTTCTAAGGATGTTTCTTACAAAAACTTTGATGGAATTGAGAAGGGAGGATAGTAGAGAGGTTTGGGACATGTCCAAATTCCCATTCCGTACTCCTGAGGAGGGAACGCGCAGGCTCTACTGAATATTCTGTTGTTAGAAAATGTAAGTCTCGGTCACTAACGTTCATATTAGAGCACACCCGTGGTCTCCACTTGGGTCTGAAGTTTGCGGAGTTCATCAGGCACTTTGACGTGTGCCCCAAGACCAGTATCTTGCTGTGCTATTCAGTAAGACGAGTGTATCAGACACTTTCCGACAGACCTAACCGTGCCCCTCCCTCCTCCTGAGTTGGTAGCTACCTGGTCTTAGTGAGAAATTCGCGCGCCCGCCCCCCCCCCACCCCCCCGCCCCCTGCCCGCCAAAGCATCGGCCCCTTCCCTCCTCATTCTGGGCCGCTTTCTGCTGAGATCAGTAGGCCACCCGGGCCCTGGTGGCTTTAGTCTCCTGACTGAACCCTGCCATCCTTTCTACTTGGCACTAAGCTTTGTGGTCGGTTGTTTCTCCGTCACTCTGGCCCTGCAGGAGCTCGTCCCCGGTCGGTTCCGCCATCCGATGTCGTCGCTGCTAAATACTGCCGAGTACACGCCCTTGATGGGTAGCTCTACAAACTGACTCAAGGAGGCCGGCTCTCAGAGCAGGGCAGCAGCCCTGAAGGTCCAGCAACCCCTTCCATTCTTTTTTTTTTTTTTTTTTTTTTTTGCGGTACGCGGGCCTCTCACTGCTGTGGCCTCTCCCGCTGCAGAGCACAGGCTCCGGACGCGCAGGCTCAGCGGCCATGGCTCACGGGCCTAGCCGCTCCGCGGCATGTGGGATCTTCCCGGACCGGGACACGAACCCGTGTCCCCTGCATCGGCAGGCGGACTCCCTAACCCTTCCATTCTTAAAGACACTTCAGACCTTGGTCTCTTGTCCAGTCCCCATCCCACCACCTCTCTTCCCTCAGCAGAGGCCTCCCCTGTAACACGGAGGAAACTGAAGCCAGCAGCGGGGCTCGGTAGCCACATCTGTGTCAGAACAGGTGTCTGTCCTCCGGCCAACACAGACCGTAGGCAAACGGGCGAGCCGTGAGTCCCATCCCACGTCACCTCCTCAGAGACCTCGCCCCCTCCCTCAGCGCATGAGCTCAGGTCTCTCCCTCTGACGTGCTCCTGACCTTGGCTCCCTCTCCTGCTCTCTTGGTCCTTCCTTTGTAGCCAAGCCCCGTTTGTCCCCACACCTCACTTTAAGATCCCTCAATCTACGGTAACCTGGACCCTCCTCTCCACATTCCACTGAGGCTGCTCTCACGGAGGCCATAACTGACCACATGTTGCCAAGTCTAGTGGGCACTCCACTTCGTATATGACATCTGACACTTGTCCACTCCCTTGGTGAGAGACCTCCATTGGCTTCTTGGCCACTACATTTTCCTAATTTTTCTGCTCTGCAGCTGCTCGTTAGTCTTCTTTTCTGTTTACCCTTCGAACAGTGTCATCAGAGGCTCATCCTCTATCTCCTTCTCGGGTGCCCTCGTTCCCCGCCCCCGCCAGCTAACACTTTAAGTCAGCTGTTTCCCAAACCAAAGTCACCTGCCCAGGCTGGCTTGCTCTGCTCTTTAATCAACTGGTAAACATTTCCACTTGTATTTGTTTTAATCACTCCAAACTCTTTGTGTCAAAACCTGAACTTACCACCTTCTCACCCCCAAACCAGTTCCTCTCTATACCCTAACCGAAAGCACAGCTAGGTGCCCAAGCCAGAATTCTGCAAGCCATCCTAAGTCCTTGCTGACCGCTCGCTTCCCGTGAGCAACGAGGTGGTCACTAAGTCCTTTAGGTTCACTCCCATCTTCATCTCCGTCTCTTCCGTTCCTGTTGTGATGCATCACTTCAAGTTCTCACCACTCTCGCCTGTTTTTTCGGGCTAGTCTTTAGTCTGGTCGATCTCCAGTTGATCTTCCAAATTTCTACAGAATAAACCGTCTAAAGAGCTGATATGTTCAGTGCGTTTTTCTACGGAATCTGCTCGTGTTTATCTTTCTACATGCATCTGCTTCCACACACTCTCAGCCGCTGTACTTCCGACACATGGATTTTCATTTCCTAAACACGCCAGGCTTCTGTCTCATTTTTGAGGTGTGGGCTTAAATGCCACCTCTTCAGAGGCCCCTGTTCTCTCACAACAGCTTGTTCTGCTCCTTCATGGGACTTTGCAGCATGCGACATGATTGTTTATAAATTCCGTGAGAGCAGGGGCTTTGTTCCCTTTATCTCCATACCCAGCACCTAGAACAATACCCTGTGTAGAATAAACATCCAGTAAATAACTTGAGAGGCTGCTGGTTTGTGCCTGTGTTCCTCGCTGTACCTTCACTCTCGCTCACCCTGTACATTACTCTGTGCCTTCGTACTTTCTCTTTCTTCAAAGTTCAGCACACCCCAAACCTCTGCTGAGAAGTCTTTTTACATCACTCCTCTCCTCCCGATCTGGTTTAGATGGCCTTTCATGGAGCTCTGATAACATTTAGATTTACAGCTTCTCCAGGTGTGGTCCCCGGATCCGTAGCATCAGCATCACCTGGGAGTTTGTTAGAAATGCAGATTCTTGGACCTTACCCCAGACCTTCGGAGTCAGAAACTCCAGGGGCGGGGCCGACAACCTGCGTTTGAACAAGCCCTCCAGGTGACTGCAGTGCCTGCTGGCATTGGAGAACCACGCAGTCACTGCATTTGTATCTCCAGGATTAGCACAATGCCTAGAACAAGATTATTGTAAAGATCTTCCTTGCAGAGAACTGAAATCCATCCTCCTGTGGCCTTCCACGGCAATCCTGATTCTTTAGAGAATCTGAAAACTAGTTCAACTGCCCTTGTTTGGTAGCCTTTCAGTGTTTAAGGATAGCCATTATTTCTACTTCCCGACCTTCATCCTCAATCTTCCCGTTTAATATTCTTTCTCATGTGCTGTGACTGAGTGCCTTCAAATTCAAACTCATTGGATTTATCAACAAACGCCAACGTACTTCATACCCACCTTAAGCATATATATTCAGAGCATCCTTTTAGCTTTCAAACTACAGTTCTAAAAGTGGAGCCATATGTCTGTATAGTCAGCCCAACACGGTGGCATTCGCGATGACCATGACAAGGTTCCGTTGTAGAGTTGGGGATGGACAGTGGAAACCAAGGGTGGTCCAAAGCTCTGTATATGCTCCATCTCAGAGAACCTGGCCGTGGTGTCCTGCAAGTCATTTTGTAAAGTGGTTTCATATCACTGCATTGGTGGTTCTCAGCCGTGGTGGCACACTTGAATCGTCTGGAGAACTTTTAAAAACCATTCCTGCCACTCTCGCCCCAGACCAATTGAATCACAGTACCTCAGAGGAGAGCCCAAGCAAGAGTATGTTTTGGACCAGCTTTATTGAGGTATAGTACCATGAAACTGTCTTATGTACAAGTCAGGGATTTTCAGTAAATTTACAGAATTGTGCAACCGTCACTCCAGTCTAACTTTACAATGTCTCCCTCACCCCAAAAAGAAACTTCATGCCCATTCATATCACTCCCTGTTTCCACTCCCCAACCCCAGGCAGCCACGAATCTACTTACGTTTCTATAGATTTACCTTTTCTAGACCCAAGCATTAGGATTTTTAAAAAAGCTTCCAGGTGATTTTAAAAATGCAGCCAGGGTTGAGAATCGCAGCACTAAATGCATGATAAGGAATCAGTGGTTTTTTCAGAACTGTGTGTAAGGAGGGTATTTCACACATTTTCACATTTTTGTCTCCCTCTTAGCCGGCACACGTAACCATTACTAGTATAAGATCATTAACTTGATAATGGGAGTTGATGGGCCATTCTATTATTTTCCCTTTATACCTTGTAGTATCAAATTCAAAATTGCCTCCCATGCTCTCCCCAGGCTATTTAAAAACATCTCTAGTCTGCTTTTTCCCCTTTGGTTCATGAATTAACAGCGACGGAAGTTCTCTTAGAGCATTCTCCCTGAGATGATGATGTCTCCAAAGATGATT